AATATTTGATTGGGAAGAAAAGAAAAGAGAATTGAGGAAAAAGAAAAAGCCCCCCTCAAGCAAGTTGTGACCGTATACTACTAAAAGAGCACACACTGAGAATTCCGAAAGGTAAAAAAAAGCTTAGCCAAAGAAATAATACTAAAAAATGTCCTAAGCCTAGAGAAAGATACAAATAACCAAGTACAGGAAGGTCAGAGGTCAACAGTGAGATTTACCTAAACAGTCTACCCAAAGGCATAAGAAAGTTCTCAAAGATGAAAGGTAAAAAGAAAATTCAGCAGCAGGAGAAAAGAAACAAGTAAGATTTAAGGTGTCCTATTCACCTGACAACTCAGAAGAAACTTTACAGAAGGAGCTAGGGCATGACATTTTTACAATAACTGAAGAAAAAAAAACTGCCCATCCTGCATGCAGCAAAGCTACACTTCAGAAATGCAAGACATACATTCCCACATGAGCTAAAGTTAAGAAAATGTATCTCCACAAAATCCGCTTGAAAGGAGAATGAAAGGGAGTTCTTCAAAAGAATAGACACACACTAAATGAGTAGAAAGAGACCATCAGAAGATAGAAAACTTACAGGCAAAGATAACTATGAAGACAAATTCAGAGCACTCTACTATCCTGAACATGTATATAAGCTGTATCTGAAGTATGACAGCCAGATACCAAAACAAATGGAAATAGGAACTAGAACAGGAGACGGGTGACACAACCCTGCATTCCTAGTACTTATGAGGCTAAGGCAGGAGGACTGCAAATTTGAGGCCAGCATGGGCCATGAGACTTTGTCTCAAAAGAGTAAATAAATAATGTGTTAAGAGATAAGCAACATAGAATATAAAATGGAATGTCAAAAATTCAACATAGGTATGGATAGGTACAAATGGAGAATGTTCTTATTATCTCTACTTATTTTCTTATTTTTTATTTTTAAAATTTATTATTTTAATTTTATATGTATGAGTATATTGCCTACATAGACGTAAGTTCACCTGTGTCATGCAATGCCCTCAGAGGTCAGAAGATGGAACTGGATCCCCTGGAACTGCAGTTATGGACAGTTGTGGGTGCTGGGATTCAAACCTGGGTCTTCTGCAAGAACGGTCAGTGCTCTTAAACACTGAGCCATCTCTCCAGCCCATCTTTTTGATTTTAAAAAATATTTATTATTTTTCATTTATGTGTACGAGTATATTGCCTGCATGCATGTAAGTGCACCATGTCACACACTGCCTGAAGAGGCCAGAAGAGGGTGTCGGATCCCCTGGAACTGGAGTTACAGATGGTCGCTAGCTACCATGTGGGTGCTGGAAACTGAACCTAGGTCCTCTGCAAGAGCAGTCAGTGTTCCTAAGTGCTGAGCCATCTCTCCAGCCCCTCTTTCTCTTTTTAAATGTAGTATTACATCCGGGCATGGTAGCGCACATCTTCAGTCCCAGGGGGATCTCTGTGAGTTCAAGGCTATCCTGGTCTACATAGTGGGTTCCAGGACAGCTGGGGTCACAGGGAGACCCTGTCTCAAAGAGACCAAAAAAAAAACAAAAGAGTACCTATATGAGCAAACACAGAAAGTGAACAGAGTGATACATAGTCCATGCAAACGGAATCTAAGAGAAAGCAAGAATAGCCTGTGTATACCACAAGAAACAGCTTTAAATCAGAAGACATGAAAGGAAATACGGAAGGTCACTATGGAATGATAAAAGAGCTAAGTATGAAATAATACCAATTTTAACTGTGTGTGCACCCACTATGCATGCATCCAAAGGTATAAAGTATTAATAAATGTAAAGAGAAAGCAATGCTTCAATATAATGACAGTAGGGGAAGGCAACACCCTATTTCCAGCAATGGACAGATCATCCAGACAGAACATTGGCCAAGAAACACAAGAGCTTAACTGCACCATAAACTAAATGGACCACACCACAGGCCACAAAACAATCTCCACTATAATATCAAGCAACTTTTCTAACCATAGTATACAACTAGAAATCAGTATTAAGAAAAACTTTGAAAATATACAAATGTATGAAAATTAGAAGTTACTCCAATGAATCAAGAAACCAGAAAGGAAATGTCAGCTAAGCCTGGTG